CACAAAAACAGGCGCTGGAGGCTCAGAGAGACTCTGTACTCTGCTAAAGACTTACTTCCGCCATAAGCCAGGGAAACCAAAGGTTAATCTTTCAGAGTACTGCTAAATCGTAAGAACGGCAAAAAGTTTAAAGGCTGGGTATTGTGGAATTAAGCCCCTAAACCCTAAACCCTAAACCCTAAACCCTAAACCCTAAACCAAAGACAGGCTGCTCACTCTCCGCTAGCTGGAGCGGAAGGTTTCCAACAGACGCAGCATCCACCTCGATGCGCTTCACGTGGGAGAGTGGCTTTTTGAGGGACTCGGCCGAGCAAACAGAGAAGCCAAGAAGCAAGCCTCGGCAAAGATCATAAGAGGATTACACACTTTCGTTTCTAATAGGACTAGGGTCCAGTTTGTGATGGGATGACATTATGATATTGCTGTGTAAGAAGATGAGGATTGGGGATTGGCTTTGGAGGTTTGGGGTTCGGATTACGGTTGAGGGATTTGCACGGAAACAAGTTGTTTCAAGTCGCCAATATTGATGTTGTATGATGCTTTATTGGGGCAGGCTACATCAGATAACGTTCTTCCCAGATGCTTCATGCTTTTTATACTTCAACCCTACACCGCTAAACCCCAAAGCCTAAACCTCGAATAAGCTTCCTTACTAGTACTTCCTTGCTAGAAGGCTGGAGGTAGTTCCGAGCCAAGTAAGTAGGATCACACTTCTGGTCGCCTTGGACGGTTTAGGGGTGATATGTGGCCATAATAATTAGAACAGGGTTTGGGGGTACCTATAGTATGAACCTTAAGGAATAATGCTGGTAAGTACATAATTAGGCGCCTGTATTAAACCCTAAACCCTAAACCCTAAACTCCTAAACAGTGGCGCCTCACCAAAATTCTTGTAGAGGCTTTCTGGCGTCTAGAAAGGTTCCTGTAAGGGCTCCTACACGGTTTCGATTATTTAAGGGTTGCCATAAGGGCTTAGTTTAAGGGGCTCGGAAACTAGTGATGTAACGAGAACGAGTTTTTCTGGTATACCGTACTATATACTTGCAAGCAGGAGCCCTTAGAAGCAGACTTATTAGTCACCCAAGCACCTTGCAAGTTGCGTTACCCTGAGATATACTTAGGAGTTAAGATTGGGGGATTTAGACCCTCTCAATAAGGTCCCTTCCAAGAGAGCCAAAAGTCGGGTTCAGAAGGGTCCCCTTGGAGGGGTCTCCCTAATACTACCTAGGATTTGAAGTGGCTTTAGGGTTTAGGCCTTAGGATATAGGGGTTTAGGGGTTAGGGGTTTGGGGTTTAGGGTTTAGGGAATACTGGGCATACAGCTGCTGTCAGAGACTGGAGTCGTTATTGAAGCCAAGCCCTCTGTAAGCCCAAAGTAAAAAAGCCGAGTCCCTAAACCCTAAACCCCACGGTGGGCCCTGAGGCAGCAACACATGCCTTTGCAAGAACCTATAGAACCCTCATAACACCGCTAAGCAATCCCAGAGAATCCTAAACATAGAGCCCTAGATAGGACAGCGTCGATGGTTTAGGGTTTAGGGATTAGGGTTTACAACAGACGAGCATTGTCAAAATATATCGTGCTCCCGCCGTGTGGCGGAAGCACGCTGTTGCTGCTCCTGGGGGGCTCATTCACACGGGTTTGACATCACTTAGCATAAGAACCTCAAATCGTTACCACACTGCTTGTGCAATTAAACCTTTCTAAATCCTCAGATCTCAGAAGCTGTAGTCGATGAGAGAGTGTGCAGCCAAGAACTGGGTGTCAGATTCCATGGCCTTCACCCAGGCAAGCCAGTCGTCCTTAGAGGGGCTCAGTTTCCTTCTTTGTCGAACTCAGAAGGCATTAAGGTTTCATGTTTTGGTGAGGACCTTGATCCTACCGTTGAAGATACAGCGCCGTACTTAAAGGCTCAAAAGACATAGTGAGTAACTTCTGAAAAAGAGGTTGTAAGTAGGATAGCCCCACCTAGAAGACTTATAACCCCAGTGACGTGAGCCCTTTGGTGGAATTGGACATGGATTGCTGATCTGGATGACAACACCAATCTCTGCAACCTCGTACACCCTGAGCCCTAGACCCTGAATCATCCAAGAAATGAAAGCCGAACCCAAACCCCTGGACCCAAACAGTCTAAGCCTTGTGCGGTCGCCAGTTCGGTTTCTGCAAGCGCACTGCCCGAAACCCTGCTTACTAAGGGCTCACGGGACTTGCTTAGGTTGTTATAACCGGGGTGATAAGGCCCCTAAGTGGGGATTATCCTGATTAAACCCTAAACCCTAAACCTAAACCATAAACCCTAAACCCTAAACCCTAAACCCCTAAATGCCCCTAAACCCCTAAACCCTAAGTCCCTTGAGCCTTGAAGCGAACCCTGCCCTGATTTCGAGCACAGTTTCTGCAGCCGCTGCGGTTGAGCCCTGCACATGGCACCCAGCATTCACAAAGTCCAGGTCTTTGAGAACGCATGCTCTTCCCTTGGCCTCAGTTTCGACGCCAAGGCCTAAAGCAACCAAACAAGCGCTGGTGCAACGGTTCGCCCTGGATTTTCCAGCCTTAATCCCTCGACTTAGGGTTTAGGGTTTAGGGTGCATTATCAAGCCCGGTCACTTTCCTCCGACCCTCTAAAGACCAACCAAAATCCGGTGCCAAAAACTCCAACACCTAAACTCTAAACCTCAGCCGCACAGCCTAAACTCCGAACAGTCTGAAGAAGCACCGAAACTCCGAAAACCCCTCAAAAACCCTCAACCCTTAAACAAACCCTCAAAGAAACCCAAAACGGCTCAGGAAATAAAGCCCAGTCACCCTCGCGACCTTGGTAATACAAACCATGGACAGTCGGATCTTGATCATAAGGACCCCCCAAAGACTCATTAACATTTCTAGCAGAAAACAGAACTGCCCCTGAGCCCTAAACCCAACACCCCGAAATGCCAAAGCCCCGAAGCCTTAAACCCCAAACCCCTGAACCTTTGAAACCTTTAAGCCCTGAACCCTCAAACCCTAAACCTTAAACCTTGAAGCCGTAAACCCTAAAAACCCTAAAAACCCTAAAAACCCTAAAACCCTAAAAACTCTAAAGCCCTAAAAACCCTAAAGCCCTAAAAACCCTAAACCCTCTACCCTAAACCCTAAACCCTAAACCCCAAAAGCCACACAGCCCGGTGGCCCTCTCTCTGGCGTTTGCCTGGCGCCCGTGCGTGGAGCCTTTGAGGTCGAAGCGCTGGATAACTTCTGCCCGGCCGCCCAGAGCGTTTCCTTTAGGATTGGAGTGGGGTTTAGGGGTTTAGGGTTTAGGGTTTAGGGTTTAGGGATTTAGGGTTTAGGGGTTTAGGGTTTAAGGTTTAGGGTTTAGGGTTTAGGGTGCCCGGCCGCCCAGCGCGTTTCCTTAGGGTTGGAGTGCTAGAGCTTACTGTTTCGAGCTTTGCGTTGAAAGTTTAGGGCGCGTGGGATTTGCGAGATTTTAAGGTTAAGAGCTTAGGGTTTACANNGGTTTAGGGTTTAAGGCTTACGGGTTAGAGGGCGTTTCCTTGCTGCGCTTTGTCTTTAGGTTATGGTTTCGGCATTATTTTTGCTCTTCTTTCTCAGTATGATTACTTTCATTACTACCTGTTTCTTTTTTGGAGGGGGTGGAGTGTATAGAGTCTAGTTTAGTTGTTGCTGCGGGGTGAGTGGGGCCCAGGGAGCTTCGACCGACCCTTCCAATGGACATGACAGCATTGCATTGATGACAGTCGGGAGAAAACGATGCCGTCGCGGTTAGTGCCAGGATGCGAAGCAGGCTCAGGGAACTAGGTGCATAAGCATCATTGTAGACTAGACAGGAGACTGGTTGAAGGTAGCTTCTATGGGGGCTTCGAGCGCTTTCACGGTTCAGGTAATATAGGGGCCTAAATGATT